CAGCGGGGTGGGGAGCTGGGGCCGTCCATTGGGTAGGGCGGGTGGGCAGAGAACCTGTGTGAAAACCTCTGCCCGGCTCCTCGGCGCCAGGCCTGAGCCGAGGCGTCCTTTTGCTCTCGCCCTGGCTGCAGCAGCTGCAGATCCACTTTGATCGGGGGTCTACAGAGTAAAGAGTCCCTGTAAGGCTCGAGCTGTAGTTGCAACTAGTGTCTGTGGCATAAAAAAGGCTCTAATCTGAGCACAGGGAGGAGAGGTTGACTATGTTGTGTTATTTGTGTTTTGATATCACACATGTAAGAGTTTAGCTAAACTTTATCCTTCCGGTACACATAGGAGGAAAATTGTGCTTTCTGGATGGTACAGAACACATGTAGTTCTTCATTCATCTGTGACTCGTTCTGTCTGCATAGGTGAGCCCTGGGTGTTGATATGGACAGTGTTTCCTCAGGCTCCTCTCTGCAGTTCCTGGCCAAACTGCTTCGTGATGCTCAAGAGGAAGAGGATGATGATGATGAACACGTGGTGAGTCTTTCATAGGAAATGCTCTTCTTTTACATGTGGTACCACAGCCTAACCTTGTTAACTGAGGAGAAGCAAAGCCCTCTTTTCCCAGAGTGAGTGAAAAGAGAAAGAAAACCATAGAAGGTTTTGGACTGACTGAAACAGCTAGGTAGTAGAAGATCCTTTTAGGGTGAGAAGCTCTTGAGGGAGAGAATAAGGAAGATGCCCCAGGAAAGCAAGTAGAGCTTGTGACCCCAAAATGGGAGGGAGATTTAATTACTCAGCCTGAAGGAAATGAGAACAGGCAGTTGAAAGAGCTTTAGATACTTTAGACTTCCCCCTGCTTTCCTGCAAAGGCAATTACAGCTAAATACTTCATATGAAGGGAAAAAGGTTGCTGCTCAACTTCTGAGTAAAGACTAAAATACCCAGCGGCGACTGAGCGCACTAATTCTGTGTCTCAGGCGTTGAAGAACTGTAGAGATAATTGATCATGCAGTACCATAGATATGTTGGCAACTGTAGAGTAGGGAAGGGTGAGCAATCATTCTGAGGGGAACGATTAATGAGAGAAGTATCTTTCTATTCTTCTCTATCAGTTGGTCTTGGGACTAGATGAAAAACACAGCTTTAGGAAAACGTACGTTGTTCCTGCAATATGCAACTGCTGTTTTTATCTAGGCGTGCGTGTGTGCAGGGGACAAATATCCCAGGAGGGCCGCGGGTGCCGAAAGTCACAATGTGGAAAGACTCTGTGCGGGCTCAAAACTTTGCCAAGTCTCTTAGGATTTTGAACAAGTTGTGTTATGACATGGGTAAGAAAAATGGCAAATTCCTCCAAACTGCTTCTCAACAAAGAGCCAGCTGGCTGACCCAGCGGTTGTGCACTAGTAGTGGCAGTGGCAGTAATATTTGGGATCAAAGGGGCGTGTATCCCTTGACACTTCCTTTCAGTAGGTGGTAGATGTGGTCTTTCACACTGTAACCATCCTTCAGCTGTTTAAAGCCTGCCTTCCAAAACTAGCATTATTGCTGTACATCTTTGCAGTAAACATCCTGATTTTAAAAGAATTTGTTTACATCTTATTAATAAAATGAGTGACACTTCAGAGACAGAAATGGAAAATTGCCACAAGGGATGTCAATTAAGTCTGAGTCAGTCTGGGTAAATTGAAATCTTTATTTTGATTTAATGTAATGTTCTGTGCGTATGAGGCACTTTTATCAAACCAAGGAATCTTCATACATAGAGAAATGCCTCACATTGGCCTATTAGCGCTAAATTGATTCATAATTAGAGGGAAATGTTGTGGCCTCATATGATCTCTACTGTCAAAAGGAACCCAAATGCTGTGATGGGGCTTTCACATAGCGCCCTTGGTTTCGTGCAATGTTTTCATGGCAGGCAAAGCACAGCAACTTTGCCAAAATGCCATGGAAACTAATACTCCAAAAGCACATCTGTCTGTAATACTGCGCTCCTGGGAGCGCTGCTTAAACCCAGTGTGCCAAGGTCGTTTTCTGCTGGGTGTGAGTGAAGACAAGAGACTGTTCAGTGGTTCGGTCATGGAATTGTGGGGTAATATTTTTCGGATTCTAGCAGGGATTTGTTTGACCTCAGATGACATTTTCTATGTATTGACATAGTCATTGTTACTGAGCTGGGCTCTGTGAACATTGATTGAAGTTCCATTTGCCTTTTTTGCAGCCGCGCTGTTCTGTTAGCACCATGACTCCTGCTAGTATTGGCCCAGTAAAGACAGACAGCACTGGTAAGGAGGAGTGTTTGTATGTTTTAGCATTCAGTCCCCTGTTAGCAGACTATAACAGCTGTAGTGAGTTCCTCAGTTACCACTGATGGGGTTTGCTTCAATAAGAGAGTGGTCACTGACCTCTGAGATGGAAATAGTTAATGCTGATTTTGCAATTGCAGTGTAAAAGTCATCTTTTCCCAAAAGCTTAACTGCAAAATATACAAAGAGAAGCAGAAAGAGTAAAACCAGAGCACAGCAACCTCCAGTGGCAATGATAAACAGAGCGCAGCCTGGTCACAGGCTGAGGGGAATCTTAATTGACCAGCAAAAAGCTCCACATAAGTACTCTCATGGAATTGTTAATGTTCACCTAGAGCAAACAAGGAAGACAGACTTCTAAGTACTGACCTGCAAGGATCTTCATGGAATAATATGGTTCCTAAATTTGCATCAGCACCTTGGATTGTACTCCAGAAAGAAGAGAACACAAGTTTAGTCTTGGCAAAGTTAATGTCAAAGCTTTCTCTGGAGTTACTGCTGTCACATTGTTGTGGAGCTTGGTTATGAGCCATAAGAAAGGTGAACAAGGACCGGGATGAGTGTAGCAGGAAAGGAACCATGGGAAATATAAAAAATAGAGTACTTTTGCTTGGGATTCCGACAACAACCAGAGATTCTACTGTAAAAGCCTTCAAGTTGCAGATTTAGAATAATAGAATTGTCAAAGACCTTTAAGATCATTGAGTCCAACTGTAAACCTGACCCTGCCAAGTTACCATAAACCATGTCCCTCAGCACCACACCTACATGTCCTTTAAATACCTCCAGGGATGGTTACTCAAGCACTTTCCTGGGCAGCCTGTTCCAACGCTTGACAACCCTTTTGGTGGAAGGGGCAACACCACTTGTTACCAGCTTACTAGAAAATACATTTTTCCATGTAGGACAGGCATAAAACATAGTATCCTGCCTGTGAACGTTCACGTGTCTTCAGCACCTTATCTAGGCTGTGCTCAATAATTAATAGAAAGAACCAGATTTCTATGTGCGGAAGAGGTCCTTTTGTAAATGAGACTGTTCACTTAAAAATCTCCTGTCTGGGGGCTTGGGGAAGGCTAATATTTCTTATTTCTCCACTGTACCCATTTTGAAGTGCTAGATACTTTATGCCTGAAAGGAGGATTTCCTTGATATAGAGATTGGGTAAAGGAGATTTAAGGGAAAGGAAAACATCCTCCCTCTGCAAATTCTCGTTTGTAACATGCTGAGGTGAAGGAGACTGTAATCATTGGCTAGAATGCTTTTAATACAAAGATTTTTCTAAAGCTTAGAAAAATCTAAGTTTTCAGCCCTAGAAGAGGAACGGAGACATTCCAAAATACCACAGTGTGATTTTTCTCATCACTTACAGGTACTTTTCAAGTGAAATCTGAAAACAGGAAAACTATTTGGAACACAGAGGAGGTCCCAGAAGGATCTGAATTTGATGATACCTGGGACCCTAGGGAACAGCCAGAGTAAGTGAGCTGAGACTGCCTGCATGGGCTTTACACGGCATTAATGGAAAGAGGAGTTAAATAGCATCTACTTACTTCATTTGAGTGAAACAGCCATCTGAAAAGCTGCCCTCATGGAAGGAGAAAGGAAGGATATCGGTGTTGCACGTAAAGCAGCGTGTGAGGAGTGATTTTAACCTCTCCCTTGAAAACTTCGATTTGTAACAGAAGCATAGCGTTGTTTTTTTTCCATCACAAGGCTACTTGCAGTGTCATATACTTGTCTAAAGTGGGATTAGGAGGGGAAGTATGCCAGCAAAATGATTTGCTAGCTTTCAAATATGCAATTTGTATGAAATTGCCTGTCCTTTCCCTCTGCAACCGAGATGCGTTCATGTTTCATACTCATAACTTCATAAAGTACTCCAACTTATATTTGCATTTCAAAGAATTAAGCTTTTTAGAGACAAATAGGACTACAGGAAGGAAGGCTACATGCAGGCAGTTTTGAACTGTTAAATCTTGTCATTCAATATTAGTCTGTTGAGGGACAGCCTAAACCCAGAGTCTTTTCTCTTGCTTATAG